TTGTTCACACTCAAATAACTGTGATGAAGGTGTAAACATGTTGTGACTGGTCTTCATTTAACCCTGTCAAATCTGAGTACTCCAGTTACCGCAGGTTACGTTGACCACACTAAACTCCAGCTGAGGCAACAATTACGTTTATACAATCAGTGTGACAATCCCCTTTATTTTACTGTACCCTCATATTAAAAGCAATGCATATGTAAACCTTGGTAAAGTCCAAGGTTTACTTGCTTAATGCAGTAGCACTCCACCCTCAACTGTACTTCTTGTAAATGCTTTGTCAGCTGCTCTTCTTAGAGCAGTTCTGGCTCTTAGTATCTCCTCTGTCTCTCTCTTCTTCTGTCTCTCTCTCCTCTGTCTCTCTTCCTCTGTCTCTCTCTCCTCTGCTCTCTCCTCCTCGTCTCTTCTCCCCGTCTCTCTCTCCTCCGTTCTCTCTCTCCCTCGTTCTCTCTCCTCGTCTCTTCTCTGGTCTGTCTTCTCTGTTTGTCTGTCTCTCAACACGAAGCTCCAAACACACATTTACATACACATTCACACACATACAACGTATGGGCTTATGGTGTTGACACTTGCATTTTTTCCCCCGTCTGACGCCATGACACTTACAGTATTGATCATTAGGACTGTGATGAATGGATGGACTCCACTTTAGCTAATTAATATGAGCCACTGCAGCTGCACTCAGTCAGTCAACCGGCATTAGAGAGTCAGCTAAAACGGTAGATCTGAGTGTGTTAGGTGTTAAAAGAAACGGTTTGGATGGTTTGTTTGAAGGTGACTGCAATGAGAAAATACCCCCATGATGTACCTCCGGTTGACTTTCTTTTGCGGACTGTTTAACAGGCCTTTAGAAAAGGTGACTGGCTGGAGTGTCAAAATGGCAGCAGGATTCCCCCTTGATGTTTTACCTCCACAATAAAAGTCGAAATAAACCACTGAATGTTTCTTTTTTGCATTTTGGCTACAGATTCCTTTCATAAATACAGTTCTTTCACTCCACAATATGTATTATTGCTGCAGTAGAGAGGGAAACAATGGCCGACATTGAGAAAGTAGAGTAATAACTACATTATTCTCATATTAATAAGAGACATTAACTACTTTAAAAAGGTCTCACTATAAATATGATCCTCAGCAATCACAATTACATTTCAGGTAGAACATAGACGCACAATTAAGTCTAAAGCTGAGCAGACAATTTAACCTGGGTTTTAAACTTGAATTAGTTGCCTCTGAACAATTTTAGAATTGGGCTGAAGTTGTGCCAGATGTGGGGGTTTAATGTGCAGTTTGTATTGGGGTCTCAACGCCACATTAATTGCCTGAATGATCTATCTGGCTCAGACATTTGGGCCTGTTGTCTTGCATTTTGTGCAATTCGGTGGCTCGATTTTTTCACCTGGCTGCTGTCAAAAGATCCATTATAAACTGTAGTGAGTTTATTTTAATTTTACTGATGTGGTATTTTTACATGCTGTGGCTGATCGTACTCTTGATTCAGACTCAAGATAAAAACAAACTTCACTGCAGAACAGACCAGACTTTAGAGTAGATTTATACAAAGTCATTGACTTTCTCTCTTTTTGTCATCTTTGTTGAGGATGTAGTTGTCTTGTTTGAATAAACTTTATTAAATGGACACAGAGGCGTTCCATACTTGAGCTCAGTGTGAGTCTACACATCATGGCCGGTCAATTGAGCCGGACATTGTGGGCATTAAAGTCCTATTAAAACAATCCAATGTCTAATTTCCCCTTTATTCTTATTTATTTATTTTTCATTTTTCACTACGTAAAGATCAGGTTCAAGTGCTCATTGTTTCTTTGATCTTTTTCCATGAATTTCAGCTTTCATATGACACACAGTGCTGTAAGGATTTAGTGTCTCTTTTCATTTTCTGTTAAGAAAGCAGCTTTGTGAAGAAGATACAAATCTCCGATCAGTTGATAAAACTGAGGAGGATCAATGGCTCAAGTTGTGATTCTATTAGGTGATCTTGAGCAAAGCACACAGGCCCTCTGTTGTTCCAGTGCGCCACTGTAGTCGTACTGGTTTAAACAGTAAGCAAGTTTTTGCATTTATCAGCAACTGCCAGAGAAATTACAGTTTAGTTACAGATGGTGTCTTGCTCAAAGGCACACAAACAGGGACAACACACACTGCATTTCCTACAGTCACAGCGCCGCCCTTATCTAACCTACAGAAACTGAGAGACTGTGTGGGAGGATTTTTTTTTACATGCCAAACGATTTTTACAATCCAAGTTTTACAGATTTAGGCAATGATCAAGTATCACGCACTTGGCAGGACAATTGAAGTTATTCTGACCTTCTATATTTACTGATGAAACAAAGATTAACCACATAAAGAGAACTTGAGCAAAACTGTTGCTGGAGGAATGACATCAGTGTGGGTTGGACACTTCTTACTGAGAGCTAGAAATGAGCAGGCAGCAGCACAAACGTGGTAATGTCAGGTAGGCTTGTCAACCACGTTTACTGCAGTCAGGGGATCCCCATGTTTTGAATGTTTAGGAAACTTTATAAGTATAACTCCTTCTCACATTAAATACACACAGCTCTCAGCTGATACACATAGCAAGAAAAGTTTGGGATTTTGTCAGATAAACATGATATTATCAACAAGGTCAGACTGCAAGTACAGTAGTTTACAAATCTGTAAACTCCTACCGGATGAGCTTTGCTGAGGTGGTTTCCCACCGTCTGTTAGGATGGGTGATTGTGGTGGAAACTAGCCTGATAGTCCTGTGGTGGAACAATTTCTCAATCCTGCGCCTTTGCCCTGCAAAAGAAAGAAAAATCCCCATTTTAACAGTTTGTCTGTAATTGAATACTCAAATGGATTCATTCATTTCTAGGGAGTTCTCCCCTGAATTATTTTGTTTTATTTCTATAGAAAAAAGGTCTCTAAGGATGGGTATGAGATCAACTGTCTCGTGTAGGTTTTCCTCAGCTAATTCTAGTCTCAGCTAGTTTCTTAAATTCACTTAATGGCACAGGTTTAAGTAAGTCCCAACAATGAAAGTCAGGGCATTCACAAAAGTAACCCAATGAACACATTAGCACTGTTCAGTGTTAAACCTCTCTAATACCGACAACTACGATTATGTATAAATGAATGGTGTCACACCTGTTTAATCTTGTTTTTCCTTCATCTAAACATCCTGTATCAGGACTGAATCATTCACTGCACTGTTACATGCAGCCATTACACACGCTATCATTCATACTCATTCAGACAAATGTTTGATCAAACTGTTATTCCTGTTCAAGAACTTCTGCATGTAAAATGTTGCCAGAATTCTCTCTTTGATGTTATCAAATCTTTGGCACAATATGATATCACACACTTTCAGCTGACTCATAAATGTCTCTGTGTGATTGGTTCCAAGTTTGTACGGAGGCACACACACATATATATACACACACACACACACACACACACACAGAGAGAGAGCACACTCTTATTGAGAAATACCCATTTCCGTGCGGAAATTCAAATCTCACACCAGTGCGTACACACTAGGTATATATCGGAGAGCTACTGCCAAACTGCGTCTACAAATTTTCTCACAAGAAAATTTAATTGACCCTGTTTCCACTGCCTTTTCTATCAGAGATACCAAGATGCCCTCACTGCTCGAATCAATCTTCTCTCACGTGTTAACCACTGAAAGATGCTGGATGACTACATCTTGTTTCATAATTACATGAAACATACATGGCAAATACGTCTATAGGTTTTCTACAGCCTCAATATACCTGATGTAAAAAGGCACATAACACTTAAAATGTGTAATTTTTATAACAGAAAAATGTGTTTAATCAGGGCCAATAAACACATTAAAAATTGTGTCGCATGTGTGTTAACAAAACAAGTCCTGGAAAAACAAATACATCTGGATGTGCACTACTACACAAATGGCTTAACTGCCTTTGAAAACTGTAAACACGTTTTCAAGATATCCTACTAACAGGACTGAAAACAAACATATTCCCGGCGGTAGTAACATTTTGTGCCATAAAATTTGTCATATTTTGTAAACAATGTAGTCCAGGAAAACAAAGTTTAACCCCAAAATTTTTCTATATGTTTCATTGCAATGGGAACCCTGTGTGTGTGTCTGTGTGTGTGTGTCTTTTCTTGGGTGATGTTTCTCACAGTAAAAATTCACTCACCATTCTGCATGTGCTAGTGTAGTGTTTGACACATGAGGCAATGTCTGAAAAGCCATCCCACACACATGAGACAGATGCAAAGAGGCCTTTGTGGGCAGCATTTTGACTAAACCTGTAGCCTGTTTGTACATGTGTGTGTGGGGTGTGTGACAGAAAGAAGATCTGATGTGGGTGGTCAACTGTTTCTCATCTCTCATCGTTCCTTTTTAAAGGATATTTATTTTAATTCATTTCAGCGTTATTTATATCCTTTTATATCTTTTCCACTTTCATCTCTAGCGTGCACCTTGAATTTTGAGCTGCAGCAGTGACAGTTTTCCCTCAAGGACTCATAATAAAAACATTGCTCTCAAATCATTTACGCTGCTGTAAAGTGTCTTAAAGTAATAAATAATCATCCCTCATCCTGGCCACATTTTGCATTGGAACAGCACACGTTCTGCTATTGCACATGCTACCACTACTCCTAAGTTTTATTTTATTTGCATTTGCATTGACTTCTATATTAACAGAACATGCACCTCCCACTGTCTCCCTTTTTGTTAGCTCGAATTTCAAGGTTCCTTTATATTTTCTGTCTCAGTCTCTCTCTCTCTCTGCGTTGCTTCCTCCCACGCTGTTTGGAAACCGTCGGGTCATGAAACAACAATTATGCCTGGAGGTCACTGTCTGCATCAACACACATGGCACATTACATGTCGATAACCTAAACTGAACTGTTATTAAACATATATCCTCAGGTAACCTTCAGCCCAAACCAGAGTTCATATGCTAAATGTATCACATGTTGACAGACGGATTACAAAAGATCTAAATCCCTAAATCATATGTACAAAGGGTATGAACCATCAGTGTTTTTTCACACTGCTGCAGGGTTAGTCAGGGTGATTCATGTTGATGGGAGGAGAGATAAAGTAAGCAGACTATTGTTCACTCTACACTTGAAAACAGATACAGATAGATGTAGGCATTTTGACTTAACATTTACATTATTATGTCAAATTGAATAGAAATATCTAAAGGTGGCATTAAAAATCAATACACTGTTTTATTTCCAAATCTTCAGACATTTTTCCAAATACATGTCACTTAGTCTAAAATATGGCCATAACAGAACACTCAATTACATGTAAATTTCAGTTTTTTAACACATCTAGTAATTTAATTTATCAAATTATTCTAAATTGATGTGTTAAAGTTGACAGAATTTGACATCAGACTGGGGTGGCAAGACATTTTTTCACCCAACCAACTAAATCCGCCCCTTAAAACATGGATCACGAATTGTAAACATTCATCAGCACGTTAGCTGAATTTGTTCTTCCTTGCAGTTTTCAATATTTAAATTTTCACACTTGACACTGTTGAAACGCTCATATCGAGCAGCTGTGGTTATTACGCCTCCTTTTTTAGAATGATATAAATAACTATGCTTATTTTAGTTTATTTATAACTTGCTACGTTTTAAAAGTTAATTTGAAAAACTCTATTATTGTCCCCTCCTTTATTAACATCTGTAAAGTTTAAGGTATTCCGCTCAAACTTTAGTATCAAAGTAGACACAAAAGGTTTCCTCTTATTGCACTTACATTGACACTACTTTTGCTGCTGTTATTACAACTGTTAATGAAAACTAATGGTAATAATAATAATCTCTTCTACTGCACTCATTTTGAGTACTACGACTACTAGTACTACCTCTACTCCAACCACTACTACTAATTTTACTACTATAAACAGCAAATCTCAAACTTAACAGGGGTAGAAGCAAAAACATGAAAAAATATACAATATAACCAGTCTTGCGAGAGTTACTTGAAAAATGTAAACTATTACTTATCGTAAAAGTAACTGTTACTCGACTAATTACTCAATAGAAAAAGTAATTTGTTACTCATTTAGTTTTCTTCACATAAATAAATGAAGTGCTGAGATATAATGTAGGTCTGCTGTATTTAAAAAAGAAAATGTTCTTACACCCCCTTGACATCAAGAAGGCCTCGTGACCCCTCGTAAGGTTTTGGCGACCCCTAGTGGGGCTCAAACCACTCAGATTGGGTGCCTTACGCTACAATGTCTCTGTTTTGACATCAATAGTGAGTCAATAAATGTTCAACAGTATGACTCCTCTAAAAAAAATATCCGATTTAAATGTGATTTTGTGGTGTTCATTAGAAGACCGTCTGAGACTCTCCTGTGCTCTCAATCATTTCACTGACCTTTCACACACATACATACATACATTTGGAATGTGACAGTAATTCTGTCTTGTAAAACCTGTTTTGGCACATAAACACTCTCTTTGTCAAAAATGGATTTAATATGACTCACAGCACATGGAACCAGAGAGCAGCATTATGGCGTCTTGTTATTTTATCTCCTCCAATCCAGCCTAATAAAACAATAACACAAACTACAGCCTCACAAATTACCACACAGCTGAGTCAACCTCCCCGGAGGTTCAAACCAAGCACAGAAGCTTCATGAGGAAAGAATATATCACAGACATATTTAATTACAAAATGTAGGCGTTCCTGTTGTATATTGAATTTTGTGTCAATATAATGTGTGTCAAAAGGGGTATGCATTACCCCAAAGTAGACACCGAAGGGTTGAAAGTAATAATGTTCAACTATGTATCCTCTTCCATCGTCATTTTCAGAAGGCAGAATGCTACAGTAGGAAGCAAGGGCCACGAGGCGATTAGCTTCACTTTCTATAGAGACTGTAAGCGGCGGGAAACTTGCTAGCATGGCTCTGTCCAAAGGCAGTAACGGCCAATAAAACCACAAGTTGACAATTTTACGCTAGCAAGAGTTCTAACTCGAACTTATGCAAACAGGGATGGGATAAAGTAAAGATTTTTCGATTTATTTAGCATAACTTGATGTTTATACTACTACCGCCTGTATTTTTCATGACAACAAAGAAATAAAAGATCCCCTCCGGACATGTATTAATATATAATCTGCTTGGAATAATAATGTGTGTCTGATGTAACATTGCTTTGTAAAAAATGTAGAATTTACACTTAAAAATCAGTAAAAAGTCTACTACTCCTTTCTTCCTCCTTTAAAAATTCCAGAATCAATGAATATTCAAAGTTTTCCTATTGGACACAAGATGTCTCCTACTTGACTGTAAAGTCCATTCTCAGTGGATGTGCGGTGGTGGATTCAAGTATTTACATCACACTATATAAATTGCAAACTGGATCAGAATGTATTCTAAACTATTTTTGATGTCAAAAATCATGCTGGTAGGCTCCGCCCCTAAGATCAGTTTTTAAATGAGCACAGGGAAACTTTCAGCAGATGAATGTCAAAACATGTTTCTAGTGTCAAACTCTTCACATACATAATTCTGGACGGTGAAACTAAAACATCCGTTTGTAGGGAGGAGAAGAAGAAAAACTGATTTTTGAGTGGAGGGGGACTTTAAAGTTCTACAAGTTTGGTTTTGTTGCATTTGGAAAATATTCAAAACTAGCAGTCACACAGATGAGAGGCAACTGACCAAAAGTTGATGTGTTATCATACATGTACATAAATTCTACCTACACAAAATAGTGTCAAAGGCTGCACTAAAAAGTAACACAAGTGTGTGTTGTTCCAAACGAGACACGTGCTAGAGAGGACACATCCTTTTCACCAGTAATCTGAGGCTGTGAGCGAGCAGAGGCCTCCAGTATAAATAGCATGTTGGCTGGTAAACAAAGCGGCTTCAAAAAGGAAGTGAGAGGTTTAATATCAGTGAGTTGCTGAGGCGGCGGAGCACAGGGAAAATCCAGTCATTATGTTTCAATTCTCAGTATATGCCATACTGTAGCATGTTTACATTCAGCTGAGGTTCCTATACAGGTCACTGTCAATGTCTACAACAGCAGAGTGATTCCTACAACGAAAGCTAGCAATGAAAAGCTACCAAACATGTTTCTTTTTGTCCTGGGAACCTTTGGCGTTCAACATTGTTGCAAACAAAATCACATACAACTCAGAGCAATAATTCTTGTCTACATACTGTTTACATCTCAGTGTGTTGCCCACATTATCAGCATCACTAAACATCAACACAGAGCAGAGAAACTGAAATGAAACAAGCCCACAGATAAAATATTAGTGTCTTTCTGTTTTGATAGCCCACTCACATCTCTAAGCTTTGTGCCACTGGTTTTCAGTATCTCATCTCAATTCATCATATATCCACATATTTTAACTTCAAGGTGCTCCAGAGATTTACTGTAGTACTGTGCTTACTTGCAAACTGCAAAAACTGAATCAACAGAGGCCGAAATCTTAACTTTTAGTCCAACATGGGTCAATTTTCCATAATGCAACGGACTAGTGTCTTTTAGACCCTTCTGTAAAAAAATGTCAAACATTGTGAAATGCATATTTATTGTAAAATGGGTTTGGATTTCTGTGTCTGTCCTACCCAGGCTAAAAACTGACCCAACAGATCTTAAAATTAAAATGTAAGAATGTTGGGGCGCCGGGTAAGCTCAGTGGGTAGAGCTGGCGACCCATGTACCAAGGCTGAGTCCTTGCTGCGGTGGCCCAGGATTTGAGTCCGACCTGCGGCCTTTTGCTGCGTGTCATGCCCTCTCTCTGCCCCCCTTTCCTGTCTACCTTTGGCTGTCTTTATCGATTAAACGCAATAAAAAGCCCCAAAAAATACTTTAAAAAAAAAATTAAAAAAAAGTCAGAATGTTGAAGAAACGAGGTCAGCAAACAGCAGCAGTGATGCCACCTTGACTATGTGAGAAGTCAACATCAGCTTTTTATCCCTAGATACTTTGCTCTGCATCTGCACTGTCATGTAATGCCAGATTCAGATTGCACAACGTTTCTGTCTGTTAATGTGGTCACTGTGTCAGATTAGACTATTATAGAGTCATACATTCTTGCCGTGACTTGGCTGAGACCCATCCCATGACAGACTCCTCGTAGGTGCCCGACCAATTGTAGCTTGCCATCGCTCACGACCTGCACGATGTCATCAGGAAGGACATGCTCTGGACCATCTTCCGGTTGTGATGCTGGATGTCGAGTTCAGAAAGGCCTACAAAACAAAGAAAAAAATACTTTTTACTTTACTTAAATTCCTCTGTTACACATTTCCACCCAGCAGCAGCAACATCGTTCCTCTACGCCATGTTTACACTTAAAGCACGGAAGAGCGTTCTGTGCTCCTGTTGGTCAACGTTTGGAACAAGTCACAGAAGGCAAATAATTCCAACTGCTAGTGCTAGTTTTTCTGTTGAGATGAGGCATTCACTATTCCTGAAACAAGGATAAAATTAAGAAACAGTATTTAAATAATGGGATCGAAGGATTATGCATCCAGATTGTTAGCTGAATGCAGTTAGTTATAACTATCAATAATGACTTGATTTCTACAGAATTTCTACAGAATATTACCAACTTCAGTTGAATCAGTGTATTAGTCTATACTTCTATGACACCAGTCGACAATGCTATATTATAGTGCTTTCATGGTTGCTATGGTTAATAGGTTACAGACAAGCCTTTGGCAGGATACTGGTTGGTAACTTCAAACCCCGTCATCAACGCCACTTTACACCCTTGTATGTCAACAATCTAAAATTGACTGACGTGATGTCACACTCACACACACACACACACACACACACACACACACACCCACACCCTGACACACATGTGTTAACCTGTATAACTTTTGAATGGTTGTGAAGAGCTCTGTAAATACTGACAGGATGTGTTAATCATTTAACAAGATAGGGAAAAAGATTCTAAGGTGATGTTGTGGGAGTACTTGTCTGTCATATGAACATTTCTAACAAGAAACCTATTCGCTATAACAGGATGAAAGTAGTTATTTCCACCTTTGTAAGTGACACTGCACAAAAGTACAAAAGAAAGTGGGAAGAATTGACAGAAAAGGATTGTAGTCCGCGTTCTAGAGGATAAAGTTGTAAGTAAAAATTACACAACTTTTAACTTCTATTATGTCCTATTATCATTAGGTCCCAGGATTATAAATACAACAGCCCATAAGCTAAGGTATAAACCAACGATTGTACATATAAAAGTTTGATTTACATAATTCAAAGTTTTAGACACAAAGTGCTTCATGAGATGATCAAATCTAACAAGTCATCCAGTGTGTAGGGCATACAGTACAGAAAGTATATTGAAAAAGTAAAAAAATATATACATGTGTTAAATGTCCTTTATTTTAACCCCAATAGTTCTTTAAATGTTGTGTTTCACATTACTTCCTCCTTGTTTGGACCTTATGGACTCAATATGTGCAAAAGTAAACTGAAGTGGTAATCCCTCGCTTGCACATTTTATGAATGGGACATTTTTAACATGTTATAAGTTCAAAATAATGTTTACAAGCAATTTTCCTAAAATCATGAAAAGTAATGAGGTGTTTTGACAGTGAGACAGTTGTTTTTTTAAATGTTAAAGAGGGCCCAGGGTCTCCAGGACAACGAACGGAATGACAACTTCAACAAAAATTGATATGAACCAACTTCAAAGAGCATATTTAAAATTCTAAATCATAAAAATGTAAACAACATGGTGGTAAAGCTAAAAAGGAAAAAAAAAAGTTATTTCTCTTAGTTCCTGAAAAGTTTACTTCTGGGACGTGTGAGGTTTTACTTGACGTCAACAGAGCATCACGTCTGTGTTGAGTGAGTCTGTATGTATGAATCAGTGACTGTACGGGCTGCAGTAATGGAAGTATCTTGAACAGAGCACAAAATCTTGTCATGGTGCCTCAAACAACGATAAACAGTCTCTGATTTGAATGTGTAAATGTCAGCTGGGACAGACAGATGAGCAGCAAGAAGAGGGAACAAGCTCTTTCACACGTCCATGCAAATAAATACACACACAGTGCAGTAAACACACACATAAGCTATATGTTAGCACATAACATGTAGTGACAAATATTGTACACAACTGTACACAGAAATACACACACAGACAGATAGGTGATAAATTAAAGAAAAAAAATCAACATGAAGTGCCTTAGTAAGGTGTTGGTTCAACCCAAGCCTCCAGAACAGCTTCAATGCTGCTTTTGCAAAGATTCTACAAATCAGTGAAATCCTACTGGAGAGAAAATAAAGAATAAATATAATATAGTCCCTCATGACGGTGGTTAGTAGGTCCACAATCTTGTGAAAGCCATAATGTATGATTCACACTGGTACATTTTTAAACCAAGTGATTTTAATGTGTATGTTTTTCTTTAATTTCATCCATCTATCCACAGATAAACATGTACATGCATGCACATAATATTGTTAATAATAAATAAAAATATGCACACATATACACATACACACACACACAGTCTACATACGGACAAAGACAAATTATACATGTAAACACCCAAACAAACATACGTACATACCTACATGTACACAGTCGTACACATACTGTACAAATAAATGCACACAAATACTGTATGTACACACACAACTACAAGTGCACACACCTATATAATCACACAGTGAAAAATAAATGTACAAATACACACACACACACACACACACACACACAGTGGACATACTATATGTTCACACATATAATAGTAGTTTTAGTAGTTATAATAAATATACTGTACATGGACACACTGTAGTCTATAGTACATATGGGAAAAGACTGTCTGTACACACACAAAAGGCTCATACACACAAATACATACACATACACACACATACACAAGGGGACACTCGTTCACACATGTAGAAGTAGCAGTAATATTATTATACGTGTAATAATAACATGTACATATGAATACATACCTGTACACACATGTAGCCTAAGTATAGAAAAAGACAAAGGTGCATAACACAGGTACACACACCACACAGTTGCAGAGGAACACACACACACTCATACAGTAGAACCACAGCCAGAGAGAAATAAATGTACACATTCTCAAACACATATTTAATTATATTACATCCGCACTATATAATTACTGCTAATACTGTTCATACTGTAAATGTGTTAACTTAATAGCTGTATATATATATATATATAT